GGGGGGGGTGTGCCGTGGCCACCGAGCGGGCAGGGCCGGGGGGAGCCGTCCCGGTTTATTTCCCGGGCTCGCCGCCGGTGGGTCCCGCGGGGAGGGGGCGGCCGGTCGGGTCCAAGTTACCGGTGACTTTCAAACGTCCTTCCCCACCCGTGCCTGCTCCGGGGGGATTTTGGGGAGCGGGGGGGTGTATGTCACCGTGCCGGGCCACCGCCCAGGGAGACAAAAGACCCCGAAAGTCGGGGCCGGGGGGTGCGGGGGAACCGGGAGCGGGACCGGCGGCGGGGCGGGGGGCAGCGGGAGCCGCTGACGGGACGGGGCGGCCCCGAGGGCTCCGGTGGGGCCGGTGCTGCCGCCGGCTCCGGTGCCCGTCCGGGGTGGGGGGGGTGGGAGGAAGGGGGTGTCCGGGGCTTTGTTCGCCCCCGCGGCAGGAAATCGCCGTTGTTATCACCCGGTTTATTAGAACCGGTTTGCGCCGGTGGCTCGGGCTCCCCCTTTCCGCGGAGACCCGGGTCGCCATTGACGGCTGCGAGCACCAAAAAAAAGCAGCCAAATCCACCCAAAACGCAGCCGTGGGTCCTGCCCCCCGGTGTGGGCAGCCGGTGCCCGGCGGAGCCGCCCCCTCCCCCGCGGGGGTCGGTGCGGGAGCCCGGGGCTGGAGACCGCAGCTCCCCCCCCCCAGGTATTCTCCTGCCCGGGGGGAGCCTGGCAGTGCCCCCCCCGTCACTGGGGGGCTGGGGGCACCTGCCCGGGGGCAGCAGTGTGCAGGGCACCCCGGGGTGCCCACCCAGGGGTGGGAGCTGGGGGGGGGCTTCCCAAACAGCCTGGTGCCCCTGGTCCCCTCTCTGCGAGGAGACCCTGGGGCTCTGCTTGGCCCCTGCCCCCCCAGCACAGGGTGTCCTCGAGGTCCCCATGGTGTCCCCATCCCTGCAGCGTCTCCATCCCTGTCCCCGTGGTGTCTCCATCCCTGTCCCCATGGTGTCCCCATCTCTGTCCCCATAGTGTCCCCATCCCTGCAGCCTCTCCATCCCTGTCTCCGTGGTGTCTCCATCCCTGTCCCCGAGGTGCCCCCATCCCTGCAGCCTCTCCATCCCCATCCCCGTGGTGTCCCCATCCCTGTCCCCATGGTGTCTGGATCCTTATCCCCATGGTGTCCCCATCCCTGCAGCGTCTCCATCCCTGTCCCTGCAGCCTCTCCATCTCTGTCCCCGTGGTGTCTCCATCTCTGTCCCTGTGGTGTCTCCATCCCTGCAGCATCTCCATTCCCATCCCCGTGGTGTCTCCATCCTCATCCCCATGGTGTCTCCATCACTGTCCCTGTGGCATCTCCATCTCTGTCCCTGTGGTGTCTCCATCCCTGCAGTGTCTCCATCCCTGTCCCCGTGGTGTCTCCATCCCTGTCCCTGTGGTGTCTCCATCCCTGTCCCCGTGGTGTCTCCATCCCCGTCCCCGTGGTGTCTCCATCCCTGTCCCCGTGGTGTCTCCATCCCTGTCCCTGTGGTGTCTCCATCCCTGTCCCCATGGTGTCTCCATCCCCGTCCCCGTGGTGTCTCCATCCCTGTCCCCGTGGTGTCTCCATCCCTGTCCCTGTGGTGTCTCCATCCCTGTCCCCATGGTGTCTCCATCCCCGTCCCCATGGTGTCTTCATCCCTGCAGCATCTCTGTCCCTGTGCCCATGGTGTCTCCATCCCCATCCCTGTGGTGTCCCCATCCCTGTCCCCATGGTGTCTGGATCCTTATCCCCATGGTGTCCCCATCCCTGCAGCCTCTCCATCCCCATCCCCGTGGTGTCTCCATCCCCGTCCCCATGGCGTCTGGATCCTTATCCCCATGGTGTCTCCATCCCTGCGGTGTCTCCATCCCTGTCCCTGTGGTGTCTCCATCCCTGTCCCTGTGGTATCCCTGTCCCTGTGGTGTCTCCATCCCTGTCCCTGTGGTGTCTCCATCCCTGTCCCTGTGGTGTCCCCATCCCTGCAGCATCTCCATCCCTGTCCCCATGGTGTCCCCATCCCTGTTCCCGTGGTGTCCCCATCCCTGCAACCTCTCCATCCCCATCCCCGTGGTGTCTCCATCTCTGTCCCTGTGGTGTCCCCATCCCTGTCTCCATGCTGTCTCCAGCTCTGTCCCTGTGGTGTCCCCATCCCTGCAGCCTCTCCATCCCTGTCCCCGAGGTGTCCCTGTCCCTGCACACCGGCCTCTGGGGGGACTCCACGGCGGCTGAAGGGGCTGAGAGACCCCGACTGGAGCCGTGGGGAGGCAGGACAGGGAGTGAGAGGGACAAGGTGGCCCTGGGGTTGTACACACACACCTGCAGGCACCGCTCCACGCACACCCACCCCCAAAACCACAACCTCACACACACTGCCCTGCACACACACACACACACACACACACGTGCACCCCGGGGGTTCCCTGGGCACGGGGGTCACCCCATTCCTTGCCCGTTTTGCCGTCAGTGGCTGTTGTTGGGTTGTTGGCTGTCGGGTGTTGGCAAAGGGCCTGGCCCGGTGACACCGCTCCACGCCTGACCCCCCGTGAGCACCTCTGGGTGTGTGTGGGTGCTATGTGCATGTATGTGTAGTATGTGTGTACACACACGTGTGTGTGTGTGTGTGTGTGTGTCTCCCTGGGTGTGGGCGCGTACGGGTGTCGCACCCTCGCGCTGCCATGGCGCCCACGCTCATTGACACAAACCCGGGGTTTCTTCCCCCCCTCCTCCTCTCTCCCCCCCCCTCGCCGCGGATGGTTGTGATAATATTCTGGCTCCTCTCCAAGTATCGGGGTTGCCATGGAAACAATAAAACTGCAGTGATTTTGGGCCCTGGCTCCACCGTCTCCCATTGTAGAGGTGGAAGTGCCGGAGCGGGCGGGTGGTGGTTCCCCGGGGGTCTGCACCCCGTGCCCCGGGGAGGGGACACACACACACACACACGCTGCCCGTGTGCCCCACATGCACCCCAGGCTGTGCACACCCACACACACAGGTGCTGTGGCTACTCCTGGCCGCGGGCAGGTGGCCAACACCGGACTCGGGAGTTTCTATAGAAACGGGGAGGCGGTGGCTGAAAATGCCTTTTCCATCGAACAAAACAAAAATACACTTTGAGTGTGAGTGTGAGTGAGTGTGTGCGTGTGTGTGTGTGTGTGTGTGTGCGTGCACAGCCCGGGGAGCTGCGGGCAAGGGGCTGGCTGACAGCGGTGATTTGTCCCCTGCTCAGAGGCATCTTGGCATCGTGGGGACCCGCTTGGGGACCCCCAGAAAGATGCAAACGTGAGCCCGGGGCTGCGTGGGGAGGTGTGTGGGTGCTGCTGGTGCACCCCTGGGGCTGGCAAGGTGTGGGTCCCAGCGTGGCACCCCCACGCTGCCCTGGATTTGCTCGTTAAAGGGTGATGTGTGTCCCGTGGGTGCGTGACGTGGCCGTTAAGGGTTCCCCCCCCGGGTGTTTCCCCGCAGGGAGGATCCGCCGCGGCGCTGCTCCAAAATGCACAGGACCACCAGGATAAAGATCACCGAGCTCAACCCCCACCTGATGTGCGCCCTGTGCGGCGGCTACTTCATAGACGCCACCACCATCGTGGAGTGTCTGCACTCCTGTGAGTGTCCCGTGTCCCCTCACGGGGTCACGCTGCACCCAGGGGTGCCCCGAGCCCCGGGAAGGGTGGTCGTGCCGCACCAAGACCCTCCCATGGATGGGGCAGTGCCCAAACCCATCCTGCATCCGGTGTTTTTGTGTCACGGAGCTGTGGATGGGGCTGGAGCAGGGTGGGCGAGCAGGGGTCTGGGCCCCTGCAGGGACACGGGGGGGGTTGCCAGGCTGGGAGAGGGGCTCTGTCCCCTTGTCTGTCCATCTGTCTGTCCATCCAGTCTGCTCACTGGTCTCTCCCCACAGTCTGCAAAACCTGCATCGTTCGCTACCTGGAGACGAACAAGTACTGCCCCATGTGTGATGTCCAAGTGCACAAAACCAGACCCCTCCTCAGCATCAGGTGAGCTCTGGGTGGGGGGGGGGGGTCGGTCCCACTGGAAGTAAAAAAAAAAAACAACAAAAAAACAAGGGAAGATTCCTCACTTGTTGAAGAACTGGCAGAATAAATCTGTTCATTAAAGACAACACAAAGTTGGGGGAAAAGTGATATTTCAGACTCATTTTCGTATTGGGGTATATCCTTCAGGACCTTCCCCGGTACTCTTTGAGAGAAGGGGGCAAAAGAAGAAATTCTTTTTTTTTTTTTCTTCCTCCTTTTTTGGGTTGGTTTTTTTTTAGCCTTTTCCATGGAAATCCGTTTTTGTAGTAACCCTTTTTCCCCCTTTTTTTTTTTTTTTTTTTTTTTTTCTGGTTCACTATGAAATATTTACACTCCGGCTCCCACGGCTCCCTCGCCGAAACATCCCCCCCTCCTCCCTGTCTGGGGACATGGATGCGTGGCTGGGCACGGCGTGATGTCCCCAAACCCTGGCTGTGGGGGTGACACGGTGCTTTCACACCCCCTTTGCTCCCCACGGTGTGGGGGGGAACGTGGGGCACGTGTGTGGGCACCCCTCAGGGTGTCGGGAGCCTCATCCAGACCTGGCACCGTGGCAAAGGGTTTGCTTTCCCATTTTCCTCCCCAAATCGGTGCCGTGGCAGCACCCAAACACACATGGCCACTGTGTCCCCCCCCTCGTGGCACCCTGTCCCCCACCCAGAGCCACCACCCTGGGCTGAAGGGGGGTGACTCAGGGGAGAGCAGCCACCGGCTGGTAATTAAGCTGCCAATCAAAGCGGCAGAGGTTGCTTTTTCATTAGCTTGCTGTAAATTATAAAGCAGAACTCTCTGGGTAGGGATTATAAATAAAATCGCAGTGGGGCCTCGTGAACCAGGAGTGACGTCACCGGGGAGTTGGGGATGAAAGACGTGGCTGGGCTAAAAATAATACAGGGTACGCTCATTTGTTTTTCTTTAAAATAAAGGCCTTATTATTAAAATGGAAATAATTGCAGATATAATTTACTTTTCACCAGTCCCACTGCTCTTGCTTTGTTTTTGTGATTCTTTTTTTTATTTATTTATTTTTTTTATTATTTGCCTGAGCTGCTGCTTTTAAATTGTGCCAGATGCTCTGCCGGAGGGTCCCGAGCCCCCGCCTCCCGGTGAAATCCCATTCCCAGCCCTCTGCTGGGGCTGGGGCTCCCCCAGTTCCTCCAGAGGCTCCTGCCTCCAGATGTCCCTGTTTTGGGGAGTCCTCTCCACTTTCCCTGGGTGCAGACACTGTCCCCCCCTCCTCACAGCAGAGGGAGATCAGCGCCTGAGCCCTGAACGCAGATATAATTTACTTTTCACCAGTCCCACTGCTCTTGCTTTGTTTTTGTGATTCTTTTTTTTATTTATTTATTTTTTTTATTATTTGCCTGAGCTGCTGCTTTTAAATTGTGCCAGATGCTCTGCCGGAGGGTCCCGAGCCCCCGCCTCCCGGTGAAATCCCATTCCCAGCCCTCTGCTGGGGCTGGGGCTCCCCCAGTTCCTCCAGAGGCTCCTGCCTCCAGATGTCCCTGTTTTGGGGAGTCCTCTCCACTTTCCCTGAGCACAAACACTGTCCCCCCCCGTCCTCCCAGCAGCAGGAGATCAGCGCCTGAGTCCTGAACTGCAGCCCAGGCCAAAACTAAAATTGGTTACAAATTAAAACTTGCAGAAACATTTGCTGATCTTAGATTGTTATTTTTTTGAAGTTCTCAGTGTGGTTTTTTTTGTAATCGTTTTGACTACTGAAAGGGATCCTGCCCGTTGTTGTTTTTTTTTTTTTTTTTAAGTTCTCAGTGTGGTTTTTTTTGTAATTGTTTTGACTACTGAAAGGGATCCTGCCCCCCCCCAAATCCTGCTGTCATCATCCCTAGCAATTATAAGGATTTTTGAGATGGTTTTCTTGCTTTTTTCTGGAGTTAACCCTTTGTGGTGAGCGTGAGGACGGACGGGTTTTCCTGCGGGACGGGGCTGGGGCATCACCAAGGGATGGGACAGGGATCTGGGGCTTTGTGCTGGGATTTTCCAGGGGGGGAGATGGGGAGAAGCAGCATTTGGGCTGGCTGGGGGGCGGGCACACGCTGCAGGGCAGCTTTGGGCAGCCCAGGGAGGCGGGTTGTTCCCTAATCCAGCTGTTTTCTCTCTCTTTTCCTTTTTTTCCCCCCCTCCCCAGGTCGGACAAAACCCTACAGGACATCGTGTACAAGCTGGTCCCGGGGCTTTTCAAAGGTACAGCACGGGCAGCTCTGATCGTGTGGGTTTGGGGTTGTTTCCAGCTCCCTCCCACCCACGGGGGAAAGTGGGGTGTCCCCCCCCATTTCACACTCCCCACGTGTGTACCTGCCCGTGCAATGGGGAGGGCAGGAAAATCCATGGGGTGAACGGACAGGGATGTGTCCATAGGGATAGAGCCCACCCCACGCTCTGGCAGCTGGTGGGGGGGGGGGCTGCTGGTGGGGGGAAGGAACCCTGGGCAGCAAAATTGGGAGTTTTACTGGTATGATTTGATTGTTTTTGGTAAAGCCACTGCCCTCCTGTGGGTCTGTCTGCCCTCACCGGTGGGGAGCGGGCACCTGGAAATCTGGGGCTTCCTCCTGCTCCCCTCTTTGCACCCTCCAGCCCCCTTGGGGGGCTTC